TGGTTGGTGCTAGACCTTTTTTTTTTTTTTTTTTTTTTCGCAAGGTGCCAGACTTCCAAGGAGGTGCCATCAACTTTTGACGTCTCTGACATCTGTTCTTATTTCAAAAGCGTGTTCATATTCCGACGCGGATCATTGCTAGTGTAGTGGCACGTGGCGGCCGGTCATTTGAGAGTGGGTGTTTGTTTTCAAATCAATCATTTTTTCGAACGGAAAATTTCCTCTCTCTCTCTCTCTCCCCCCTCTCTCTCTCTCTTTCTTTCTTCTCGGACACCGCTGGGATCGGTGTTAGAGAAAACGGAAAGGCAGGCCGTTACAACAGGTCAAGAGTTCAAGTCCTACTTTCTCAGCTATTAGGACCGTCTGTGGAAGGGACGTAGGGCCATACTCAAAACACTACTTCGAGTGTGTTTGGCCGCAATCACGGCCATATTCATGCTTGTGCTGATATGAATGAGCCGCAACCCCGCTGAGCAAACCATCCCCCTTCCCTCTCCCCCCCCCCCCTTTTCAAGAACGTGAAGGGGAATCCCGAAACTGCCGGGAAAAGATTACTTTCTTAGGTCGCTGTTACTCCTTTTCTTCCCTTTCAGTCTGTTGCTTATCACGAGTAGGTAGGTGATTCAACGAGATTCATCCATAAGATGCTCCCACATCCATTGGTTCTGGACGCGAGCGGTAATAGGCGGTCGCACGGTAGTTATCCTGGTCAGTTCGATTGCGTCGTCCTCTTCTATTCAGGACTTGTTGATCAGTTAGCAGGCAGATCGGCAATTTTGTGTTGACGTCATCGGCCACAAGGACATATAGAAGGGATAAAATCCAAGAAAGATAATGAGGAAGAAGAGCCAGGTCGGACATGCGCCAGTAGGAGGCGAAGGCGGGTTCCTTTCCTACCTCTCCTCTTTCTCTCTCTCTCACAAATATCCTAACAGAATATAGTGGAAGTGTTGGTCTTGTGCTTTCCCTCCCTCCTCCCTCTCCACGCCCCTTCACCCCTCCGTTCCACCTCTCCTCCCCCCTCCACCCTCCCCTCCATACTTCCCTTCTCTAGGGGAGCCGACCTCCAGCTTAAATAACACGGTATATGGAAAGACTATGGTTTTTATTCTTCAGGACTCGTCTCTCGTCGCACACGGATAATTGCTCGCAAAAGGATACTGGCTCGGCTAAGGATAACGGATGCGATAACGGTTATGACAACGACTATGACTTCGGCTATGGCTGGGACGGATCGCGCCGTCAGGAGAAAGCCGACTAATAAGGTGCACGCCCCTGGGAAGGCAGCGAGCGAGAGGCTGCGGCTTTGACCACGGCCATGGCTTATGGCTATAGCTACGGCTAAGGCCCTGGCTATGACTTCGACTATGACCGCGGCAAAAGGCTATGGCTATGACTATGGCTCCGGCTATGGCCACGGCCATGATCATGACTATGGCTACGGTCATGATCGCGGGTATGGCTACGGTCATGATCACGGCTATGGCTACGGCTGCGATCACGGTTATGGCGGTGGTTACGAGGGTCGCTGCTAGGAGGGAGAACCAACGAATGCGCATGCATCTCACAGCCCACCGCACTGAAGTTCAGGCCGTCTGGCATCTGATCGTCAGGAGCAGAAAAGGTTCAGGGTCGGCAATTGCCGACGGCCATGGCCGTTGGCACCGGTGTTTGATCATGAGGAGCAGAAACGGTTAGCTACTGACACAGCCGTGTGGCCGCGGCTATGGCCGCGGCTCTGACCTACAGCTACGACGCTATGACTATGACTATGATTGTCAGCTATCTCATCATCATGAGAAGCAGAAAGCGTCAGGTACGAGGATGCACAACGGCCCCACGACAGCGCAACAGAACAGGATAGGTCTTTCGTTACGCAACAGGAGATAAGAAGTGGCATTTTTTTGGGGAGAAAGTGTTGTATGCAGTGCGGAGAGCGACAGCTATGGATATGGCTCATACACCAACTTGCGAAGACGATCGTCAGTTGAAAGGCGCTGCCATGTGCCAGGAAGAGGAGACAGTGTTCAGCGTGAGATGCTCCGCGACCACCCTTCCCCCTGTCCCCCGACACACACACACACACACACACACACACACACACACATTTTCAAAAAAAGAAGCGCCTCCAAGTGCGAGGTACAGTCACTTGAGAATAGGTTATCGTCATCGTGAGTGACAGACGGCAAAGGAATGCCTTTACCAGGCAGTTATATAGACTATCAAAATTGAATTACCTTTTTCTATATCTCCCCATCTCCCCACCTCCCCTCCCCAAACACACCCTCACACAAAACCTGCTGATCAGTTGGTGCAAGTACGACGGAACAGTCTGGTACTGTTACGCTTTTTTTTTGTGGAGTTGTGTATAGCGAACATGACAACAAACACAGAAAAAAGAACGCACAATTGTTTCGTCGGACCTTCAACCTCCTGATGAGTCGGTGCGACGAAATAGTCTGGCACAGAAAAAAGAACGCATAACTGTTTCGTCGCATAACTGTTTGTGGAGTTGTGTAGAGCGAGCATGACAATGCACACACACACACACACACACAGGAAAAAAAACGCGCGAGTCCAAGTGCAAGATACAATCAATCGATGATAGGTATAGGTTATCATCACTATTGAGTAACGGTGCCAGCAAGCTACGACGAAGCTTGTTGACGACGATGAGGAGGGTAGAATCTGGGCGAGGGGAGGGGGAAGGAGAAAGGGGAGAGGGGGAGGAGAGGACGGGGATTTGCTGGTCTCTATGTCGATAGGAAGGACCCTTCTAGAAAGACACAGCGCCAATCCTTTGGGACCACTTCACCATCCCGAGGGTAGATCGGGGATTGTACATGGTCTTCTTCTCTTATTAAAGAAGAAAAACGGGAGTACGATGTCCGAATGAACTGCAAACACGAGTTCAATTCCATGCTATAAATAGCAAACCGAGCTGCAAATTGTCGATAGATAATGAGGAAGGGAATGGATAAGAACAACAGAAAGCGGGCACGACTTCCAGACGCAGCATTCGACTCCTGGGTGTATATGACCACAAAAGTGTCATTGGACTTGTTACTAAATGTATCTGACCGCCGTTACGTCCGCCTTGCATGCATCTTACCGATAACCATGACGACTTGGAGATGAACAGGGTGATAATAATGGTGTAGCTGAGTTTCGATCTTATTGTTTTTTTCTTTTTTTTCGTCCGGGCAAGGGCCAGCCAAAGAGGAGAAAATTGAGCACCAAAAGTGTTCAGCAGTTTGACTTGTCCTCCGGGACATCCGTTAAGAATGGGAACGATACAGATAAAATTAGCATGGCCCCTGCAGGGCAAGGATGTCCCGCATAAATCGATAAAGGCAGTTTGACTTGGCGAGGGAACTATTGACTCTTTCGACTAAGGGAGTGCTCAGGGGATACTCAGCGCATACTCACAGGAGGGGACTGGTTTCTGGACGTAATTGACGTCAGATTCATCCGGTTCGGGCCGTAATTCTGGTCAGATGCATGCAAGATGAGTTGCAACTGGGGTCAGATACATCGAGGAAGGCTATCATTGGAAGTGCGAGAGAGTGTCCTCTCACATTTGGCACACATGCACCTGTCTCTTATACACATCTAGATGTGTATAAGAGACAGAGATATGGAAGCTCAGGAATAGTTCAAAGAACAT